TGACAACCATTTCGAACATGTGTATATAAATAAAATAAAGATCGATATATATCGACAGTTTTCGTTATTGAAGGCTATTCAGGAAAAAATCATGACGCAATTATATCTGAAACGAGGAAAATTTTCTTATATATGAAGGTTCAAATAGTCTGGCAGTAGAATGTATATATTACGAATTTTTGATTTAGATGTGTGGTTGATAGATGAATAATACTTTCAAAGAGAGCGGTTAATTACTTTGAAGAAATAAAGGCAAAATAAAGAGGCTCAACTTTGCATGAAAACATAGCAGAAAATGAATACGTTAGATATTCTGCTTTTCTGTTTAAAGAAAAAAACAAGAGAAGAACGAATTCTATATTTTCATTAAATGTTCATCTTTTATGTATGCAACAAAGAGTGCTCAGAATCTGAAACTGCTACTGATGCTGCGGCAGCCGAAGTCTGATTGCGAGTGACAACCATTTCGAACATGTGAAATTAAAGTGAATGTGGATTCAAACAAGGAAAAATCTTCTGTTCATTTGAATTTGATTTGATTTATCTTCACTGCTGAATTACTTGTATAGCCAATCATATTTGAATGAAGAGACTTTTTTACTTACATTATATAGTGTTTCAGTTGTCTTTGAAGAAATAATCAAACTAATCTAATCAGATTAAATTAGAAAAGAAAACGAAGTTCCTATATACATGTTGTAGGCAAAACTCAAATTGGGGTTTTGACTGGGCAAAACTTAAATTTAATATTATAATTTGAGTTTTGCCTGAATATAAAAAACTAAATTTTGACACCATCTATAGCTGTCACCTGACTTCAGTCAGGTGACAGCTTTCTATTACGCGTTTCAAAGGGAGGCGATTCGTATAATAATATTTTTCTTACCTGATCAACTTTTTGATTTTTTCTGCGTTTAAGCGTCGTCTTCTCCCGTAGCCCTTATGTGATGGAATAGATTTGTCGACTTAATTCAAACGAACAAACACCACTCCAAACACGGGGTTCTGGGGATTATTTTTGTATTTTTTTAAATTTTATTCCCCTGAATTTGTATTTTTATATTTATAATTTTTATACTTATATATTTTTATATTTACATATTTTTATATTTATATATACAATTTAGTATAATTGTATTATTTTTATGTACAATTTAATATAATTTACTACTCATTATTCACAGTCTTGTCATTACACCCAGTGATATAATGGGCTTTGATACAACGGGCTGTTTAACTGGTTTACGCACCTGACAGGCAATACAAAGTTTTAAAAATATTTCCACAACAAACCATGGTACCCAGGAATAACAGGAGTTCACTTCAGCTAGCGTTTTATCTCTCCCACCATGCGATACACTCGCATGAGATTCACTTAAAATATTGAACAGCGAATCACATACACACACAGGCTTTTTCGTCTTCAAACAACAAAGAAGATCGACTCCAGCAAATTTCACCAAAACAAACTTTTTCCTAGCCCACAAAATAAAATTTGAAGAAACAGAATCCAAAGTCTTACCTTTTTCGAGTAAAAATGCTTTAAGGATATTAGTTTCTTTTTTAATAACTGATTTCTGCTGATATTTTTGCTGTAAACAGCACAGATGTTTTTCTAACTCATCATAAAAACCTTTTTCAGCAGTATCTGAAGAAACGGTAGAGACAGTAGTTACAGCAGAAGATATAGTAATACTTTCAATTGAAGAAGACATTTTTAATATAAGAAATTTAGTCGATGTTTTCTCTCTTATATACTATTATCCATCACAAAGACTGATAGTCCTTGTTATGTGCAATGACCTGTGACTTATTCATGTCGTCAAGTTAACTGCTGTAATAACAACTACAATAAACTGAAAAGAAAAGAAAAAAGTCTTTTTACTTAAAAAAAGCACGTTTTCAGTCATACGAACGACATTTATATCTACAAAATAAAGGCAAATTGTACTCTCTGACTTTGAATTTCAACAAAAGCGAAAATTAAATACGTAATATAAGGTTTATTTGTTGTTCTATCACTTTCCATTGTACTTAGTTTTTAGAAAATGACTTCTCATCATATCCAGACCGCTCCAAATGACATCAGTCCCTTCTCCTTCCCTTAAAACACGTAATAGAAGACTGTCACCTGACTGAAGTCAGGAATATTCTTAGATGGTGTCAAAATTCAGTTTATAAATAATATAATTATATTCAGGCAAAACTCAAATTATAATATTAAATTTAAGTTTTGCCCAGTCAAAACCCCAATTGGAGTTTTGGCTAGTCAAATTTAAAATTTGCCTGAATTTGAGTTTTGCCTACCACATACATGTATATAAAAGTTATATAAAACGAAATGTTGTGTGCGGAATAGAGGAATAGCGGAATAGCGACCGACCGGAATACATTTTGACATGCTCCCTAAGTGTTCTCCTATGCTTTCTTTCACTCTTTTCTGATAAGAAAGAGCTAAAAGGATTTTGTTTATTTGTCTTTTCTATATTTTTAGTTGTTCTAAGACAACTGCACGTGCACGTTCTTCCTCCTCTGATTCTTCATATATACGTTTTCTACTAACTCCTCTCGTTCTTCATCTAATTCAAGTACTATATCATCGTCATCGTCAGACTCTCATTCATCCAGAATGACATCATCACTAACCAAAAATATGAACAGAATGAAAATCAGTAATAATAATAATAATTGTTTCTAATCGATCAGCATCTCATCCTCTCAATAATCAATTACCTTCCTCAAGCGGGACCTATTTCAGTTTATAAAAGTGGTGGTTTTCTCTGTCTGTATAGCTACACATATCAAATTGATCGACAAATGAAAAAGAAAATAAAAAGAAAATGTAAACAGAGCAGAAATAAGATAAGATGTGGAGCAATAATTTATACAATTAAAAATGTGGGAACTATTTGTTGTACTTGTTCTTAGTTGTTAGAGGAAGAAAATGTGATGATGATGATGTACATTCACACTGAGTTATGAATAAATATTTATTTCTATTCTTTCAAAAAACTTGGTATTGGTAATGGAGAACATGTAAGAAATAGTGAGAAAAAAAATTACACTAAAGTTAGAATAGTAAAAAGAAGAGCAATTCTGACTGCTTGAATTCATCAGAAAGTTCACTGTGTACCATCCTAGATTGCAAGACCAGCGTGTTCACTTCACATTCTCTCAAAGGTGAGCAAACCTGAACAAAGTTACGAACATCCTGTCTTTTTCATTCCGATCACCCTGTAGTTTTCATTACGAACTTCCGGACGTTCTCATTCCGATCTTCAGTCAAAATTTCGCTGTTCAATCTTTAAAAAGCGTTTGTCAGAGTTCGTTACGAACTCCTAGATAAATTTCATTCCTAACACTCTGTTTTCTGTTATACTTCATTGTTTCTTGTCATGACGAACTCCATTCCGACCACGCTGTCTTTTTTCCTCATGTCCGGACATCGTAACGGGCTACTTCACGGAAGTTCGTAATGAAAAATTAAGATGAAAACTAATAACCCCAAAAATTCATCTGTAGTTCACATCGTTAGTGCACTTAAGGTTTGAAAATATTTTCACAGAATACGCATGAGACACGAACAATTCAACTGTAGTCTGCATGAGTGTCGAACAAATAATAACACACTGCTGGCTTTTCTGATCCGCAAGCCTATCCTGCGTGAGAGTCGAGAAACTCATCAGTACGTCGTTTAAGAGTACAGTGAGTTTACGCTCGATAAGCGTGACAGTCGAAAAACTCGTTAGCAGTACGCCAAGAACACACATTCTCGGGCAGCCAGAGTTGTCGAACAAACGATGAGGTGTAGGAAGAAAATAAAAATAAAAATACCATATTCATGTTTTGGAGACCTTTCCTTTTCATGCGAAGAGAATACCAGCAACTCGCAAATATGCTTTAAATCGAATCAAACTGAACAAAAAACTCGATTCCGAATCTTTTGAAGAAAAAGTCTAGTGCGTTATTCACTTTAAAAGACATGTAAACGCGTTTGGATCATTGTGGCGTGATTTACTCACAGGAGTTAGCACACGGCTGCTTTCACGCTAAAGGCTTACCTGTCATTGGTTTCTTTTCTTCTAGGCTCAAATTTTGAAAAGGTTTGGAGTGTTCGGCAACCAATGATTGATTTGCCGGTTGGACCAGCGGCGGTTTGACCAGTGGAAAAGGAGGTATTATTTCTTTTAACTGAATCAAATGTAGATCCGGAGCAGGATTTATTTGACCAATAACCTCTAAATACGAACCCGGAATCAGAATAACTTCCTGCTCGATATTCTTAAAATATGAATGCGGTACGATTGACTTCCCGTTGATGCATTCGATGGAAAACAAGGTGCGAATGCCGTGTTGACCCAAAAACCGTTCCGATTTCAAAACTTCGACATTGGTCGTACACGAACTAACACCCCACCAAGCAAACTTCATACCCGCTTTGTACTTTCCACTCAGATCAACATCGCGGATACCGCGCCATACAATCTGCGATTTGGATGGAAGTTTGAACAAGGCAGTGAACAGTAGTTTCAAGTAGCTGAACCATGGTTTCAAGTTTTGGCGATCTTCGGTTCTCAACGTTCTATTCAGCATCTGGTACAGACTGGCACAGCCGTCGAACTGCATCGTGTACAAATGGATCGATGCTGACTCGTCTTGAGTCAAACCATCTGCTGGATTTCTGCAATTTTCCTTGGCAACCCAAACACTGGCTTCAATGCCACTGAATAAATGAGCAATTGGCTCAGTAGCTTTTTCTAAAGAAACCACTGGCACTTCTTGATAACCTTGAATCGGGGAAAGTAATCGGTCTACCGGTTCACCACTAATATCTGTATACCGTGAAACAGCCAGGTTTTGATCTTTAGGAAAAGCTGCCGCCATTTGAGGACTAGAAAAGAGATCGCTGTTACATTACTATTGCTCTCTGTCTCATTCTCTCAGATACTATTTGAGAGTCTTTATTTCCAATAAAATCTGATTATTATCGAAAACTTAGTGAGAAAATTAAGCACGGTTCTTTTGGTGAATCGAATGAGATCAGAATCAGAAAAAAGTCCTGTTGACAGCGTTTTGATTTATATGGCTGTTAATTTGACATATTGACTTACTCGATTAAAACAAATAACTGCTTTTGTATGACAGTAACAAAAAGAGACGCAGTAAAAGTAAAACTATATTATTCTGAATTTCTTTTTAAATTAAAGCAAACGACAGTTCTTTTTTTCTGCTCTGCTGTTCTCCGAATTGCAGAGTATCATATATACTTATCACACGCTACTGTTAACACGTATATTTGTTCTTCTTCTTTTCTTCTTGTATTTACATAGCTTGCACAATACGCATCCGCCGAGAATTTGATGTTCTAAGAAATGAATTCGCATTCGCTGGGAATTCGTTATAATGCATGGTGGTGGATATGATATATTTGCGAATTCTCTCTTATTTTCTGACTAGTTTAGGTCACCATCTAGGTTAGGTAAGCATCGATTGCGAATTCTCTGTTATTTTGTGACGAGTGTAGGTCACCATCTAGGTCAGGTAAGGATCGATTGCGAATTCTCTATTATTTTTCGACTGGATCAGGTCATCATATAGGTTTCTTACGGAGACCGAAACGGGTCCGGTCGGATCGGATTGTCTCGGTTTCGGTTCGGGTCAATGTAAAAAGTATTGGTTCGGGTGGGATCGGGTTCGAGTTAAAGTAAAAAAGATTTATTCGGGTCGGGTCAAAGGAAAAAAAGTTCGGGTCTTGCCACTAGAACACAAATCAGGAGAGTTTCGTCGATTACAATTCATTCTTCTATTTTCAAACATGTGTCTTTTTTATCAAAAAGAGAAGTA